AGCTGTGGAGCGCTGTTCCCGCTACGTGGACGTAGACCTCAACCGCTGCTTCACCAGCGCCACCCTCAGGTCAGAGCTGCTACTGCACTCGCGCTGCTGTCTCCTCTCCCTCGCATACAGCACACTGTGTCTCCTCTCCCAGTGTCTGCCAGTGTCTGCACAGCCAAAATTGACCGGACACAAAAATCCAGTGATCAATATCAGAACACATCAATAGCACTTGCCAATCCTAGTGAGCACAGGACTTTCTAGAGCTTCCTTGGTAACAAGTAGACAGGCCTGGCTCTGTCTGGCTGGGATCATGAATATCTAGCAGGCAGCTCCCTCTTGTGGTTCTGATTTGTCCAGCACTGCTCTGGGTCGGGCCTCCCTGTTCTGGCGGGGGAAGTGAGACGGTGTTTGGAGCAAAGTGCATTTCTGGTTCTGTGTCACTGGATCAACACTGGCCAGGCAGCTGCCTGTTAAAGTGCTACTAAATCTGAAAGCCTTTGAGTTAATATTCTGCAGCGAATCGGTCAGTGTCAACACAGTGTTCTCTCCTTTCTGTCTCTCCGCAGTGCCCCACTGACAGAGGACAGCCCATATGAGGTGAAGAGAGCCCAGGAGCTCAATTCGAACCTGGGGCCTAAGGGTACCGCCCAGGCGGCGGATCTGCTTTGTGATCTCCACAACACCACAGCCAACATGGGTGTCTGCCTGATCGGTTACTCTGACAGCGACTGGCTCTCCCTGCAATTCTACAAGTACCTGCAGGCAAGAGCAGTAGATCGCCTATAGGCTTGGCAGCCCTGGTCCTTTTCTCCTTTCCAGTTGAAATTACTCATCTGAATTTGTTTTAATTGCCTTAATAATATTTTTTGTGATGTGAAATCATGATTGCATGAAGTCCTCTGTTTTTATTTATATTGTTTTCTACGGTCTTTGGTATTTCACACAGGATATTTGCAGTTCTTGTTGATGAGTGACAGGGTGGACAGGGAAGACTGTCGAGTCTCCCTGCTGCTCCAGCCCAACAGAACTGTGCACTGGTCCTCCATTGCTCTTGTGCAACCCAGGGATTAAACATGACAGTTAATACACATGTGACCTAAGGCTGGTGTGTCTGCATGGTGTCCGGTCCTGGTCCTGCAGGGTCAGTGTGTCTGCAGGGTGTCCGGTCCTGGTCCTGCAGGGTCAGTGTGTCCAGTCCTGGTCCTGCAGGGTCAGTGTGTCCGCAGGGTGTCCAGTCCTGGTCCTGCAGGGTCAGTGTGTCTGCAGGGTGTCCGGTCCTGGTCCTGCAGGGTCAGTGTGTCTGCAGGGTGTCCAGTCCTGGTCCTGCAGGGTCAGTGTGTCTGAAGGGTGTCCAGTCCTGGTCCTGCAGGGTCAGTGTGTCTGCAGGGTGTCCGGTCCTGGTCCTGCAGGGTCAGTGTGTCTTCAGGGTGTCCCACCCAGTATCCCAGATAGGAATGTACAGATATACTAAAATGTAAGACCATACATCCAAGATTTTCACTCCTTTCTCTCTCTGTCTCACACAGATGAAGATGTCACATGTCCCAGTCCGATTTCTAATCTTCAACCTCCCTCCCTCTGAATCCTACTCCCTGGAGTCTGTGGGGAAGCATGGCTTTGGTACAATCTGAGGACCTCAGACTTACAATCTCTTTCTTCCACGTCTCCCTCTCAATACATTCATTTCTTTCTATTTATTCAGTGCAGTGTTAATGTACTG